ACATCTTGTGAGCTAAAAATTCAGATGTTTTCCAGCTGAAGAATTGATAGCTTTCAATTGTGATTTCTTATAACAGTGTCGTACAGTTTTTACCAGGGACAAATAAAATGAAATAAACAGAATTCTATTCTTCTTCAGATAAAATCCTCCTTATTTGGAGCCGGGAGATCCCTTTGCATTCCGTTAACAGTCCCTTTAAGGACCTAAACTAGAAACTTATAAATAATCATAATGAGTTAAACTTATTTCTTCCATAGATAGTTTTGATAATGAGTCTAAAACATTAAAATATATTTTTACCTTTTCTGCCTAAATGTATATGATTGATAATCCTCAATTTTTGAACATGTGCAGTCACTGTGATAAAACCTTTCAAAATTTAGATTAAACACTTCTACAGGGTGAGTAAAAATTGAAGCTAAATGTTTTACTTTCAATTCTATTAAAACAAAAATGTTCAAGTTTTTACAATATGCTGGGTTTCTCCAAAATAGTTTTGTTGGGGGGGGGGTCTTTACATATAAAAAATAGATTAAATTGATACATTTTATAATTTTCTTTTAAACTTTGAAATTTAAGGTTAGGGCTTAACGATTTAAGATAAATACCTATAACCTATAGTATTAAGAAAAACGTTTTAATCAAGAGAAATTAAAAAAAGGTTTAACGTTTGAGAAAATATTATTATGTCTGCATCCTGCACTGTATGTTTGTTTGTGTCCAATAAACGTAAAAATATTCTAAGGAAAATATTAATATATCATTCATTCATTTAATATTTTTATTCAACTACAAAGCATGAGATATTACAAATAAGCAATCACAATTTACTATGCAGTTTGGACCCGCCTAACCAGGATTGGTTGTTTTTAGTGGTTGGCCCGAAGTTAATTAACGTTACTGAATATAATTGGTACAGACATCAAGATATGTTTTTGGATAGGTAAGGAGTTGATTGAAAGGAAGGAGATTGTCAGGTGATCTGTGGCAGGGTGAGAACAGAGGGATTTTTATGTAATAATAAATTAAAATACAGGGTTGTTAATGATGGTAGTTACATAAACAGAAATAAGCTAATAAAGTTTCAGTTATTTAAGATGTTTTTTTTTTTATTATTCACACGATATACAGCTAGGTTTTTCGCATTTAAACCTCTCATAATTCTCAAGATAAATATTGATTACTCTTTGTTTAAATATTTTTGCAGATTTAGTTTCTTAAGGTCAAATTCAATTTCATTTCACAATATTTTATCGTAAAAGATATTTAATACAGATAATTACCTTGTCTCAATATATCATAAAAAATCATTATGTGGAATAATATCGTTTATTATCTAAACGATTGATCTCGATTTCCAATGTGGGCACTTTTAAATGTTAAATTAAATGCTTGATCCCTAAAATAAGAGTTTTAATCCCTGCAGGGTATGGTCTCTACGGGATATCGGAAAGGAATGAGATAAATCCGTAGGTCTGCATAAGTAGGAGATCAATGCTTGATCTAAAATTTACACACAAAATTTTTGACTTGAATTTAACTGTAATATTAAGAAAATATCAAATATATAGGGAACAGAAAATTTGAGGCTAGAAATCAGTTTTTTGAAAATTAGTGGAATTTTTAAGATTCCATATTCCGGGGCCCCTCTTCCCTTTCCAGTTGTGCTCTTGTAAACCTGTGGCAAATATGGCAATTTGTTTCCGATTATATTCCGGAAATAATGATTATATTATTATTTGACCTGAAAATATAAAGTTGGCAGTAGAATCCTGTAATGATGTTATTGTGCCGCCATCAGCAACTTTTTATCTCCTATTTATGGGTGAACCCTGTATATACTTCGTATTCATGGTTAATCTATTAGAATTGATGTTTGTTTTCTACAAGGTACTAATGCAAGGAAAGTTTTTTCAGAGGTGTACGCATTTTCTGTACTGCAGTGTACTTTCTTTGGGCGAAAAAATATACACAAGACGAATGTCTGACATGGTATCCATTTCCGCAAAAATAATCTATGAAATATTATGGTCTTAGGAAAGTTTTATGTGAATTTTCAAAAATATCGAAATTAAAAGTTTTTTTATCCCCCTCGGATACTAGACTGATGCATATTCTTGTTTACAAATTCCGCCCAGAGAGAACTGGTTTCAATATGTATTCGCAGAGTATACGCGACCACAATTAACTTTCCTTGCATTATAACCTTGGTTTTCTAGGGATAGTTCACATATTTGAATATGTGAACGTAATACAAACATTTAAAAAAGAATTCCAAAATACAGTGATAAACAGAAAAATCTGAACTAGGAAGACCATTTTTTATATCAAATAAATAGTTAGAGGGGTGCACAAATAAAAGTGCACCTCCCTAGACTAAATCTCCACTACGCGCCTGTTTACAATCGTGTCTTAAAGAGACTGTAGATCTAATTTCAAGTGGCCCGCTCTGCTGTTCTTTCAGATAAAATCAAATATAAGCATATATCTTGTATGCTTGATATAATATACATACAGGGTGTCCCACGAAACATGACACTAGCAAGACGAATTGAAAGTCGTCTTTAAACTTTGAAGTTATTGGTGACATTCAGTCTTCAACCTTCTTTTACATGTATGATTCCTGAAACAATAACCACTAAATTCTTCTAGTCCTGCCGTTTCCAAAATGTGGTCTGCATTTTTTGTGCATTCAATATTACCGGAGATATTAAGAATTTCGTTCAGATTTAATTTTTATTGAATAAAACCTAAATTGTCCAAATCTGAAGGAAATTCATCATATCTCCGGAAATATTGAAAGCACAAAAAAGGCAGACCACAATTTGGAAATGCCAAGACAAGGGGTATTTTGTGATTATTAGTTCTAGAATTTTCCTCCTAAAAAAGTTTACGAAAAAATGCCGCAAATTATTTCAAAGTTCTAAGACGACCTTCAAAATCGTCTAGCTATTGTCATGTTTCGTGGGACACCCTTATAAGATTTTAAAGGTATCGTAGTAAATAAATCGGAAATGCCACTTTTCAAATGAAAGTTTGAAATTATGCCCCTTACAGGTTTTATTTGTTAAAACTATAAAGTTTAAAAATGTTTTACAAAAGAGAGTGCGTGAACATAACACGAAGAAAATATATGTATAAGTTAATTAGAAGAGAAGAGGAAAAGTGCGTGGGAGTGTACGCTGCGCGCACTCAACACTCTCGAGGTCCATCATCCACGCACACCGGGCTTATTCTAATCAATTTTTTAAATTCTTTCTTACAGTTCTGTTTTTTATTCTTTAATGATTCCCTCCCCTAAGACCAAATTTCTCCTCATCACCCCCCCCCTTCCCCCCCTCCCCCGAAACAAAAACAAATAACGCACTTTAAACCCGTAGAAACTACAGCTGTGCGATGACGTCATGTCGTGTCATCTTTAAAAAGGAGAGGAGGGGGGCGAGAAGAAAAATTATTTTCTGAAACTTTATAATTTTTAGATTTTCTTTAAATTTTAATTTTTCTTTTAAAATTTGCTTTAAGGCGAGGTTACGTCTTAAGACTGTTTTTTACCGGAGTTTGAGGCCTACGCACACTGCAGTATGCGCGTTCACTTGCCCGCCTCTATTTCTATATTAGGCCCAGTTTTGTTTTTAGTTTCAGAATGTGAACTTCAAATAATATTATTATTATTCATTCTTGAAATATCCATACTAATTCAGTTTTTGTATTGCACTAATTGCCATGTCCTGTCTTGTTCTGCAGTACAAAATAATTTATAATTCTGCATTGTTCATGTTCTAGTATTAATTCTACTTTATCCCTTTAACTGTTAATTTAGTTTGTCATGATTTTCATTCATCTTTCATTCATTCTTCAGTTCACAGAGATCCAGACTTCTATGAAAAGTTGCATCAATTTTCAACACGGGCGGATCCAGCTTTTTAAAAAGGGGGGTGTCAAACAAAGGCTGAATTTAAAAGAAATAAGCATTAAAAGTGAGTATTTTAAGTGCTCAAAACAGAAAATTACTCTTAGAGTATATAAAAATATTTCTACCTTAGAGCTGTACTTACAATTTTTTCACACAGATATATTACTCTATAAAAAATATATTTCCATTTCCATTGGCATTACATAATTTCTTATTACAATTTTACATATTGTTAAAGATTGAGATATTAACTATTAAAGGTTAAGGGTGTTTTTTTCATGTGACTAACTAAGTTACAAGTTTTGTCAAGCTTTTAACACTTTGTGGGTTTTACGGTTTCTAAGAATGTTCATTAGGGCTGCAGATCATTAAATCTGTCATCGTTCATGCTGGCTTTTTGGGGCCTCTTGCAGATTTCACTTCCTTATGAATCCTTATATTAAAGTATCTGCTGGAAAACAAGTTACAGTAAACTTTTAGGTTAGTCTCTAGAAAAGGGGGGTCAAAAGATACTCTTGACCCCTTGACCCCCCCCCTGGATCTGCGCCTGATTTTCAAGACTGGGTGGTAATGCGCGCCTTTGCCGTTTTAAGCTCTAGTTTTTAAAAAGTAATTGGCAAAATTCTCTTCCACTTCTGCGTGAGCGCTTGCAACCTCAGCATCACTTTGAGTGTAGTGATTATATAATACTAGCTAAAGTACCCGGTGTTGCCCGTGGAATCTTTAAAAAATTAAAATTTGGAAAAAAATTGATTTTTGAAAGAAAATAAATTCAATTTGCTTACCCTATGTTACCCCCGGGTTACCAATGTGTTCCCTCAAAAATTTTTAACCAATTTGGTCTAGCTGTTGTCCATTTTTAGCTAACATATATAGGTAGAAATATAAATACATGAGCGATCTGCAGAGATTTATTAATTAGATTATGTCATCTAATTTCTACTTTATCCAGCGAATCCAGCCATTAAATTAAAAATTAAAAGAATGACCGCCAATTCTACCAGATTGATATTTAAAGTGATGGCAAGATCTAACATGACGGAGGTCGATAGTTTATTTTTTCCCAACCTGTGATAGGATTTCTTATTTTTAGAATACATAGAGTTATCTAAAAATGCCTTTACCAGACTATGGACATATGAACAAGGAGAAAAAGACTCATCAGGTTTAGTGGATTTAACAAAACTTTAAATTATTTGTTTAACTTTAAATGTGCGAGAAAAAAAGTTAAAAGTTGCATATAGCAGCTCAGCAATTATTACGTTGAGAAGATAGTTTTATTTATCTATTAAGCAGAAAACTGTGGAATAGGAAGACGACATTAAGACAATAATAAAGTGTATTTGATGTTGTTACAAAGCAATATAGTTTGACTTGTAACTTAATAATGACTTATTAAGTAAAATGAGACTGCCAAATTGCTATGTCTCATGTTCATTGGTCTATTTAAAGTCATACATTGAGCCTAAAAGTCGTTTCCCTAATCCAGAGTTTTCTGGTTCTCACTGTAAATAAATACTTTACAAGGATCTTGTATTTGAAATGGCTCCTGAGATAGTGTCTGATGAAGAAACTGAAATGTTGAACGGGAAAAGAGTTCATGTTCGCCGAGGAAAGGTATAAAAAGGTTTTTTATTCAAAACAAAGAAACCCAAACTCTAAACATTTTTCAAAATATGGAAACCCAAACTTTTAACATTTTTTAAACTATGTAAACCCAAACTCGAAGCATTTTTCAAAACATGGAAATCCTAAATTTAAACATTTTTTTAAACATGAAACCTCAATTTCTTAACATATTTCAAATCATGAAACCTCAACAGCTGTGCGATGACGTCATGTCGTGTCATCTTTAAATAAGTTGTGTTATACTAAAACGGGTAAAAATCGTCTTCTTTGAGTCGTTCGACTTAATTAGATGAACTTTGTATTTTGAATCACTCTTTCTGTTTGCACCCAGGGACGTATACAGGAAGAAAGATGTGTGGGGGGGCTATGGGCGCTATTACACCTCTGGAGAAATGAAAACTATGATTTCCAAAAGGGGATTTAGTCCTCATAAGTAGCGCCTTCAGTAAGTATATAATCTCTGTTTTTCGACTTTTAACTGCAGGTACCTTTTCAAAAGACGGTTGCTAGGATAGTTGGGGTAGCTGGGGTAGTTGGGTTAGTTAGGGTAATGAGGGTAGTTGGGGTAGTTGGGGTTGTTGGGATAGTTGAGGTAGTTGGGAAAGTTGGGGTAGTTTGGGTAGTTTGGGTAGTTGGGATAGTTAAGGGTAATGAGGGTAGTTGGGGTAGTTGGGGTTGTTGGGATAGTTGAGGTAGTTGGGAAAGTTGGGGTAGTTTGGGTAGTTTGGGTAGTTGGGATAGTTAAGGTAGTTGGGATTGTGAGGGTAGTTGGGGTAGTTGGGGTTGTTGGGGTAGTTGGGGTAGTTGGGATTGTGAGGGTAGTTGGGGTAGTTGGGGTAGTTTGGGTAGTTGGGGTAGTTGGGGTTGTTGGGGTAGTTGGGGTAGTTGGGATTGTGAGGGTAGTTGGGGTAGTTGGGAATGTGAGGGTAGTTGGGGTAATTGGGATAGTGAGGGAAGTAGGTTCTCCCCCCTGATATGTCAAAACTGTCACTAGAAGGGCCGAAACTAAGAACTGTCCCCTTTTACCTTTATATATAGTTAGTATGTATGCTGCTAAACTTTCTCTAACTGCCTAGAGGTCGGTCTGATACTTCAAATAAACTGGAGTTCCCTGACAAACTCCTGTATACGCCCCTGCTTGCGCCTTGGTCTTGAAACACTGCGGCCTCACCCTTTAACCACAACAGTTCTCTTTGTTCTAAATCTATCGAAAAACCTAGATTCAAAATTAAACCTTCTAGCTATATTGTATATTGTATATTGTATATTGTATATTGTATATTGTATATTGTATATTGTATATTGATATATTTTCATATAAAATCAAATAAGAAAATTCGGTTCTTTGGCGTGACATGCTCATTACTTTTTTCTGAAACTCCGCGTTTCAGGCCTAAAACTATTGGCTTCTACACTAACTGGAATTGTCCTCAGCTTTTACTGCCTGAATACCTACTTTTTACTTCGCTTTTTGGAAGGCCTAAATATGAGGAACTAAATTAAGTGCCTGGCGTTGCCCGTGGAATTTGAAAATATCGAATTTTGAAAGAAAAGTAATATATTGTTGAGCTTATGTTACTCCCAAGCACCCATGGGTTCCCTCAAATTCGGTCCAGCCGTTTGGCCGGTTATAGCTTACATATACAGCATATAAACAAACAAGCATATAATAGTAGTAGTAGTATACACATATATAATATATATATATATACACTACAACTGTAACCTTAAAAAGACTAAATCCTGTGTTGAGTTTGTCAAATTAGAATCTATAAAATATCAGCTAAAGCAAAAAAATAGTTCATTCCCTGTTCACACATTAATCCCTGTAAAGCATTAGAATAATCCGTTTAATCATGAAATAGCTTGGATAGTCCTTTTTTCATAAATAGCGTGGATAGTCCTTTTTTCGTGAAAAACCGTGAAAATTGTCCCTTTAATCATGAAATATCAATAAAGGTCCCATTAATCATGAAATATTGTGAATGGTCCCTTTAATCTTGAAATATCGTATAAAGTCCCTTTAATCAAGAATATCGTGAGTGGTCCCTTTATTCTTGAGATATCGTGAAAGGTCCCTTTAATCATGAAATTTCGTGAAAGGTCCCTTTATCCCGTTAATCTTGAAATTTCGGTAAAGGTCCATTAAATCATGAAATATTGGTAAAAGTCCCTTTACTTTTGAAATATCGTAAAAGTTCCCTTTAATCTTAAAATATCATGAAAGGTCCCTTTAATTACAAAATATCGTGAAAAGTCCCCTTAATCATGAAATATCATGATTAAATCTTGTAATATAGTAAAAATTCCCTTTAATCATGAAATATCGTAAAAGGTCCCTTTTATCATGAAATATCGTGAATGGTCCCTTTAATCATGAAATATAGGTAAAAGTACCTTTTCTCATGAAATATCGTGAATGGTCCCTTTAATCATGAAATATAGTGAAAGGTCTCTTTAATCCTGAAATATATTCAGGTTACAACTGGTAAGATCGGGATCGACCTGGAGAGAAAGCTTGTTATAAACAATGATTCAGATCCTAACATTTGGAGAACAGAAGTTGATCCCAGGTTTAATCAAATCAATTATTCAATAAATCAGTTACTTAAGCAATCAATTAAAAGTCGATTAATGAATAAGTAATCAACCAATTGAAAAAATTAATTAATCAATCAATAAATTATTCAATTACTCAATCAATCAATTAATCAATTGATCATTTAATCAATCAATTTATCAATCAATCAATTAATCAATCAATTAATTAACTAATCAATTAATCAACCATTCAATTAATTAATCAATTAATCAATCAATTTTTCAATTAATCAATTAATCAATTAATCAATTAATCATTTAATCAATTAATCATTTAATCAATTAATCAATTAATCAATTAATCAATTAATCAATTAATCAATTAATCAATTTATCAATCAATCAACTAATCAATTAATAAATTAATCAATTCATGAATCAATCAATTGATCAATAAATGAATGTTTTAATCAATTAATTAATCGATCAATTTATTAATTAATCGATCAATTTATCAATTAATAGATTAATTAACCAATCAATCATTTAATCAATTATTTAACTAATAGATCAATTAAATCAATGTCAATTAACAAAGCAAGCTAATTTGCAGACTGAATTTTTTTTAAAAAGATTGAATAAATTCTCCACAGTCGTTTCTGAAGTATCATCCCTTGTGGGTAACCCATGACGTAATTAAATATGATTTGAAAACCAGAATATTACTATCCCCATTTTCCTCGTTTTGGGCACCCAAATTTCAGTCCTCTATAAGAAAATATATAAAGTCGTCTTCCAAATTTGCATTCTTTCGTGTGGTGTTCTACGACCATACATTACTTTAGTTTTTTGAATATAACCCTGCATACCCCCCGCCCTCCCCCCTAGCATAAACAGTTAATTCTTAAAAAAACATAATTATTATAATTTTTCAGAGACATTGAGGATGCCAAAAAATATTCCAATCCAAATAGAAAGGTAATAAAACTTCTTATTTTATTTATTGAAAGAAATGGAAACTAAATTAACCCTAAAGAGGCGTGGGGGGGGGGGGTCTAAATTCATGTTTAATTCCCTAATTCTGGGACCTCCAAAATGGTGGCATGTCCGTCCAATTCTAATTATCTTTATTTAAACTTGTCTATTTTGGTAAGAAATCTCTTTTTTAAACTTTAAAGAGTTCACTTATCAGCTTCACAAAGGATTTTAGGATTGTTTATTAATTTTTTAGGTTTTAAAAGATGATGTTCGGAAAACCCTTGACTCGTTAATTTCCGGCTCCAAACTCAACTCAATAAAGTGAGTAATCATGTATATTGTTAAGTGAAGAGCTTTATTATCTACAAAATGAAGGACCCGGCATTGCTCCGTGTAAAATTTTGAAAAAAAAATAAAAATTCGAATTTTGTAAGCCTACAACACCCCTGGTTAGCCATAAATGTAAACAAAAATGTCAGCCCATTCGGTCCAGCCGTTTGGCCGGCTATATCCAACATATATTTGAATGTCTTGTTTTATCATATAGAAGATTATCTTTACATATAAAGTTGTAATCTCCGTTTTTCCGATCATAACTCAGGAACCCCTGGACCAATTTGCCTCAAAATTTGATTGGGGAGCTATGGAGACCCACGGAAATGCTATTAGCTTGGTTTTGAGATTTTAAGTTCAGTGGATCAACTTTAATAGCGAAAATTTAGTTTCCCGGTAAAATCGTTCAAGTGCGGGTAAACGGGCGCTAGTAACTTTGAATAACCTGTCCCCATCTAATATAGAGATAAAGTGGAATACAATTTTTTATGAAGCTGTTCATCAATTTAAATAAATATAAATCAATAACCTACATTTTTGCTAACTCCTTAATCTATCTATCTAACTATCTAGGTCTGTAAGACGACCTTCAGTAGCTGACCAGCCCCCACCCTCAGCAGAATATAATAAAAATGTTAGATTTTCCCTTCCGGCAAATAATAGGTAATTAAAACTAGAAGAAGAAAGAAGAATAGCTAACAATTCACGGGAATTCAGCTAGATTTCTGGTTAAAATAGCCCTTATCTTGGATTCAAATTTTCACTAAATGTACCTAGATTGATTTTTTTTAATTAGTTAGTTTCAAGTGAAATAGTTTAATCTTGAAGATAAGTTTGGTTTTCTCATACTTGTGTGTAAAATCAAAACTAGACAAGATACACGAAACCGTAGCAGTAATGTTGCTTAAAATTGACCCTTTTTGTGTAGTTTAAAGCATCCTCAATACATCAAATATAATTATAATTAAAATATTTTTGCGAACTCTATTTTTTTAAAGTTGCGAACACTCCCTTTAAGCTTAAAACATCTTTTGCAAACTTTTCGAAAACTCTAACTTGAAAAATTATTAAACAATATTTAGGCAGTCTGAAGAAAGTGTGACAGGGGTTTCCATCCAACCAAGTGGAACATACAGAATAGGTAAAAATTAATTAAGATTTTTTAGAGGGACTGCTGATATAATTTCTAGCTTTGTGAAGAAATTCATGTCCGATTTGCACACCAGTATGCTTTAACCCCGTGTCTGCTGAGCAACACACTATATTTACAATTATACTGATAGCACCGATTGAAGGATTCATAACTCTAATTGGATAGTGAGATAGATAGAAAGATAGATGTTACATCCATACTATTTCTATTGGTTCAGAATAGACAATAAACACATGACTGAACCTTGATTGGACCATGGGCGCTAATGAAATCGGTAAACAGGGGTGAACAATGAGGGCGATATAGTTATTCTTTATTACCTCACAATTTAATTCTTTCAAATTCCCTCAATTCCCCCGGGTAATTAAATCCTCAAGCCACTCTTACAGAGACCTCAAAAATAGTTTGCTAAAACCAAGGATGTAATGCAAGGAAACTTATTTCAGAAGTGTTTACGCATCTTTTTTACTGCAGTGTACTGTCTCTGGGCGGTAATGTAAACACAACACGGATGTTACAGCCTGACATGGGGTCCATCTTTCACATTAAAAAATCAATGAAATATTCTGGTCATAGGAAACTATTATGTGAATTATCAAAATTATCATAAATTAATGCTTTAAACCTCGTCGGATACTAAACGAACACTGATGCATCTATTCTTGTTTACAAATGCCGCCCAAAGAGAACTGGTTTCAGTATGTACGCAGAGTATACACAACCGCAATTAACTTTCCTTGCATTACACCCTTGGCTAAAACTAGTGTTTAAAGAGCACTGTGTTGTGAATCAAACATTCATGCAAACATAAAATCGACCGTTTCTTAATTAAAATTTAAATATAAAAGACCGGCTCTTGTTTTATAAGTAAATATATACATTTTTCTCCATTTTTAATTTTTCTTTTTTTTGTCGTCTTTGTTAATTACTTCCAATTTATTTTTCTAATTCCTTTTAAAATATTTATTTTTAATTAAATTTTGAATTCCCAGCATTTATTCTGATTTATGAGCAATCAACTTTCGAACTCTCGCAACAAACCCTAATTTTCTCATCCTTATATCTTTGCAACCTGATGAAGAACCTGATTTTATAATTTTAGACTTTTTTAGCCCGCAGTATTCAGTTTGAAATTTTGAAGATCTACCACATCAGATTGTAAAGATATAATGATTTGAAATAAAGAATTAGTGGCAAGTGTTCAGTTCTTGTAGTCATTAATATAAAACTTTAAAAGAACGGTATAAACATTTTTATAAACAATCAATTAAAGTTGTTTTGAGTGTGCATGATTCTAAAACAACTGGGTTGAATAATGCATTTATACTACAAGACAGTCCTGTTAGACAGCTATGCATCTGCTTGAGTTGTGGGTGGTTGGTATAGGCCTAATTTTAGCCTCAAGGCAGAGAGAAAAGAAGAGGCGTTATCTTACAAGCAGAATATTCACACCTAGCCTCCCTCCCCATTATTCACGAGGGAGGAGTGCAGGGACGCCATGAGCCCCGAGAAATGGTCTCCAAGCCACTGAAGTCGTAGATGAGTATTTAAAATGACTTGGCGCAACCCCTATCCTGTAGAATAGATATTACAGAAGCAATATATAATTTTTTTTAAATTCTTAATATTATAATAGTTATGGAATGTTTTTTAAATATTGCCTAACTATTTAAAGATTTGATATTTTTTTTTTTTTTTATTACTTCTATAATATCTATTCTAACGTTGAAGGGTAGCACCAAATCATTTTAAATACTCATCTGCGAATACAACAGCTTGGAGATCAGTTCGCGGGGCTCAAGGTGGCCCCGCTTGCCCTCCCTACCCACAAACTTAAAACCCACAACATTAATAAACCAGAGATTATGTGGCGAATAATCAATTCCTTTCAGATTTTTCATATATGTATTGAGAGAAAAGAAATTGAGCTTTTGCCACAAACTCAAATTTTATTATTCCTTTACCTTGGGAACCAGATGGTGAAAGTCTTTGACATTTTAAATTTAGACTATTTAATCTAACATAATTTTTTGGAAAATCAAAAGTCTACGACATCGTATTGGAACGATGAAGGGATTAAAAATTCAGAGCAATTCCATTAAGAAACTCAATATGGTACAATCCCTTTATCTGAAAACTGAATAAACTCTAGTTTGTATACAACCCCTTAATCTAAACACTGAATAAACTCTAGTTTGTATACAATCCCTTTATCTGAACACTGAATAAACTCTAGTTTGTATACAACCCCTTTATCTGAATACTGAATAAACTCTAGTTTGTATACAGTCCCTTTATCTAAACACTGAATAAACTCTAGTTTGTATACAATCCCTTTATCTAAACACTGAATAAACTCTAGTTTGTATACAGTCCCTTTATCTGAAAACTGAATAAACTCTAGTTTGTATACAATCCCTTTATCTGAAAACTGAATAAACTCTAGTTTGTATACAATTCCTTTATCTAAACACTGAATACCTCTTGTTTGTATACAGTCCCTTTATCTAAACACTGAATAAACTCTAGTTTGTATACAATCCCTTTATCTAAACACTGAATAAACTCTAGTTTGTATACAATCCCTTTATCTTTATTATGTAAAATATATTCTCTGGGTTTATGAAGAAAATGAATTGCACAGTAAATCAGTCGCGGAGAAGTTTAAAAAAAAATTCCTGGATAATTCAAGAATATATCTGTAAAGGGAAATCCACAATGGATGAGATTTTAGTAATGACCAAAAACTCATTGAATGCAATTTTTTAGTTAGTAAGGTTATAATGCAAGGAAAGTTATTTCAGAGGTGTACAAATCTTTTGTACTGCAGTGTTCTGTCTCTGGGCGGTATGTAAACACAAGACGGATGTCGAAACTTGACATGGGATCCATCTTTTACATAAAAAATCAATGAATTATTCTGGTCATAGGAAACTTTTATGTGAATTATCAAGATTATCAAAATTTAATGCTTTTAACCTCCACGGATACTAAAAGAACACTGATGCATCTATTCTTGATTACAAATTCTGCCAAGAGAGAACTGGTTTCAATATGTACGCAGAGTACACGCGACTGCAATTAACTTTCCTCCTTGCATTATAACTTAAGTCTATACCCAAGAAATAAACATTGAATCGGAACTGCCATATCTGATGCGTCAAATAGGTGTACTGCAGTGGGCGGAGATCAAAACAAAGAATCCAGGGGCATAACATCATTCATGTGATTGTGATGGAAGGGGGGAGGCGGGAATAAGAAAAAAAATAATTATGATTTCTTCAATATATTTACTCTCACAACACAAGTTTCAGAAAAAGCTACTGGCGTTTCTTAAGTAGCATTATTACAAGGTAGAAACGTCAAATGAATTAAAATACTGAACTCACAGTTTAACCATCACACTATCTATTATTTCAGGAGTTTAAACAGTGGATGTAAAGCTGGGATATTTGATAACCATGATATTTGGCATTTCTTCTCTTCTGCTGGAATATTCTTCACTTTTATGTTCATCCTTACACTAGAGGATAAGAACATTAGGACTCTGCGCAACCAGATTCCAGTTTTCTAGCAATCCTCTCTTCGGAGGGCATAGCATCAATATTATCAATCTTATCAGAGGACACCCCATCACTTTTATCGGAGGGCATAGCACCTTTTGTATTGGAGGACATAGAGCAACTTTTATCAGAGGACTTAGCCCCATATGTATTGGAGGACATAGAACCACTTGTACTGGAGGACAGAGAAACAATTTAACTAGGGGACCTGTTAAAAAAATATCATGTAACAGATATCTGTAAACCTGAACCACTCTGTACATTATTAATTATCTGCGTTGTAAATAGCTCTGTAAATTATTAATTGTCTACGTTGTAAATAGCTATGTAAAACCCATACCATGATTTGTCTTAACTGTGCTGTAAATAACTACGTAACATGATTAACCTAGCCTAGTTATGTATGAAAATATGTCATAAACTGTATTGTGATTAGCTTAACTATGCTTATATATATCACTTACTTTAATAATAAATATATATCTTTCTATCTATTTATATATCTATTAGTATATATGTATATATATATATATATTTATATGTATATTTGTATGTATAATTATCTATGTATCTGTCAATATCTATCTACATGCCTGCCTATATTAATGTATATCTTTTAAATTTTTCAAATGATAAATTTAAACCGTGAACAGGTGTAATCTTCAAAGTGTACAGTCATTATCGATAGTTAGGGTGTGTCTAATGAAAACAATAAAACTCCCACATAAACCTATTCTTAAATTTTCTAAATAAATTTTTTAATACTTTCAAAAAAACTGTTACAGGGGACTGTAAGTGTAATTTTAATTGCTGCTTCACTTTCAAAATGACTTATCCATTTTTACTACGAGAAAATCATATAGGAATTATCAGAATTTAATACTTTTTAACCTAGAAAAAAGGAAATTTCTTCCACATTAATTATTAGATCATTGTTTGAAGGTAGCACGGTGAATTGGGTATTGCCATCTTTGAACGAAGGAGAGTCATTTGAAATTTTATAAACTCAAATTTTATAATACACACATCGTTGCAAGTTTGCAACATTTGATATTTCAAACTTAAATTATTTGATGTAACAGAATTTGAAGCTTGAAATAACTAAGGTCTACGACATTAGATTGCGATGCAATTCCTTTCAACGACCCTTTTTTAAAACAATTCTAGAAAGATATTACTTCTGCAGATTTTTAAACTTTGAATTTATCAACTTTTGCTTTTCTGTCTGATACAAACAAAGTAATAAGGCATTTTCATTTCACAGCACAAAGAAACATTGCTGCAATGCATGTTGTAAATCTAAAAATTTTACTCTGGGTTTGAACTAAAAAACTAATATAATGTCATGATATCGTTAGCACTGATTTCACCTTCAGTGAGTTCGGTGTCATTTAAAATAATGTCTCCATTACTTTTAAATTGATCATTTTAGGGTCCCGAAATAGTCCTGTAAGATCAAGTATATCTCCATGTTAACTGTATAAAGTTCAGGTGATGGAGGGCCCCGAAATAGTCCTGCAAGATCAAGTATATCTCCAGGACGAGTATCTCCAAGTAAACCAGGAGCTAGGGGATCTACTCCTCCTAGTGTAGGACAGAGGGTGGATCCAAGATATCAAGGAATCCAACCTAGGCAAACTCTGACCCAGGTATAGGGCTGGACAAAATTTCGTTAATGAAGGAAAACTTTTAGAATTAACGGAATAATGCGGTAACGGAATCAAACGGCAAGAACTGTTAAATTGAAACCAATTAATCAAAATGTTAACCTCAATCAATGTTAATGACATATAAGTTAGATATAAATTTCTAAAATTATGAAAACTGATATCTTACAATTGTGGTTTCTCCACAAAAGTGGCTTTTGCATTTCATAATTAAACAATATTTATCAAGCCATAAAACGTATTTATTTCTACATTTATTGACAAGATAAAGGTTTCAAGAGTACTGATGAAAATCGGGCATTGCTATCTTTGCATGGAGGGTAACTTGAACTTACGCTTCTTTTCCCTTTAAAAGTAAAGTATTATTTTTTAATCCAAGATCAATTAATGATTTATTAGTTGGTATATTCTGTTAACGAACTGATCATTGTTAAGTTAAAAGTCAAAAACTAATGGATTAAGACCCGTTAATTAAGAAATAATTCTAATGAACTTGAAGAACAGGGTGTCCCACGAAACATGATAGTAGCAAGAAGATTTGAAAGTCGTCTTTGAACTTTGAATTTATTGGAGACATTCAGTGATTAATCGTCAACCTACTTTTACATATATGATTCTCATAACAATGACTTTAATATTCTTCTAGTCCTGGTATTTCCAAAATATGGTCTGACTTTTTTGTGGTGTAAATATTACAGGAGATATTAAGCATTTCGTTCAGATTTCAATAGTATCAAATAAAACCAAATCTGAACGAAATTCTTGTTATCTCCGTGAATATTTCAACGATCAAAGCCGACCTTAAATTCGTCTCACTACTGTCATGTTTTGTGGGACACCCTGTAGAGTAGGGCTGGGGAGAATTATGTTAACAAATCGAAAGAATAATTATTAGTTAAAAAGTTTAAAAGCAAACGGTTTCTCAGGCCTATAGCCTAGCAATTAACTGTAACAAAAGGATTGAAAATAAGTGCTATAGTGTTGTTAATGTTGCGAAAAGTGTATTGAATAAATTGTTTTTATGAATAAATGATTGTTTAGATACAAATAACTAGACAACTAACTTGCCGTATCACTGAAGTATTTCCCCTTTTGATATTTAAGTGGTGTTTTTAAGTTGTTTGTTTTAATCTTGCTTGTTAAATTAGGCCTATCATGCTAAGGCAGTAGTTTCCCGGGGTCCCACTGGGGTTAGTGCACCTAGAGTCGGAGGGGAAGCAGTCGGAGGAGCTGGAGGCATCGGAGGAGCTAGCTCTGGATATTCATATTCTCAGGTCACCTGTCTTTTAGCTTTTAAAGAGAAAATACTGTTAGAAATTATTTTTATCAAACTAAATATGTTGGAGCACTGACCCAAAATCAACTTAATTGGTATCATTTTTCAAACATTTGGCTGGTTGCTAATGCTTTACGACAGATTTAATATTATATGACAAATTTTAATTTTTTAGATTGTATCTAAAATAGAGTAAACGATTTCTATACTTTTAAACTAATTTGATAGAAGTTTGTTAAATCTAATGATTTAGATCAGGCAGCAATGATAGAGAGTGTCTCAATAAACATTTTAAAATATGGTTTTCACTCTTTGTATCTTTAAAATTAAAGAAAATATCAAACATTGGAACGTTTTTGTTTTTATTATGGAAATTAAATTCTGGACAGATTTCTCATTATCTCTGTCAATTTGGATAGCGCTAAAATGAATGGAATTCCCGACTCCCGAGACTTGTAACTTTTCATATCAATTGTCTTAACTGGGATACTATACTAAACTGTATTCACGTATTAATGCCGTGTCCCGTCGTCACTAAATTGTATTCACGTATTAATGCCGTGTCCCGTCGTCACTAAACTGTATTCACGTATTAATGCCGTGTCCCGTCGTCACTAAATTGTATTCACGTATTAATGCCGTGTCCCGTCGTCACTAAATTGTATTCGCGTATTAATGCGTTGTCCCGTCGTCACTAAATTGTATTCACGTATTAATGTCGTGTCCCGTCGTCTCTAAATTGTATTCACGTATTAATGCCGTGTCCCGTCGTCACTAAATTGTATTCACGTATTAATGCCGTGTCCCGTCGTCACTAAATTGTATTCACGTATTAATGCGTTGTCCCGTCGTCACTAAATTGTATTCACGTATTGATGCCGTGTCCCGTCGTCACTAAATTGTATTCACGTATTGATGCCGTGTCCCGTCGTCACTAAATTACCTAGTTTTTTGGGACACCCTATACAAGCATCATTGAAGAAATCGAAAGCTATGTGGTATTAACTGTATTTTCTTACAATTTATTAATTTTTGTTACTTATTTTAGGTGTCACAGACCAGAACTTTTAGTGCACATGGTATCAGAGGTCTAAACTAAATCTCACCAGATCTGGTATCAGAGGTCTAAACTAAATCTCATCAGATCTGGTATCAGAGGTCTAAACTAAATCTCACCAGATCTGCTATCAGAGGTCTAAACTAAATCTCACCAGATCTGGGATCAGAGGTCTAAACTAAATCTCATCAGATCCGGTATCAGAGGTCTAAACTAAATCTCATCAGATCTGGTATCAGAGGTCTAAACTAAATCTCATCAGATATGGTATCAGAGGTTAAAACTAAATCTCATCAGATCTGGTATCAAGGTCTAAACTAAATCTCATCAGATATGGTATCAGAGGTTAAAACTAAATCTCATCAGATCTGGTATCAGAGGTCTAAACTAAATCTCATCAGATCTGGTATCAAAGGTCTAAACTAAATCTCATCAGATCGGGTATCAGATGTCTTGACTAAATCTCATCAGATCTAGTAACAGAGGTTAAAATTTAATCTCAGCTAATTCGGTAACAGCAGTCTGAACTAAAATCCGCTGATCTGGTATCAGAAAACTAGACTATCCAATAATCTGGAATCAGACGACTAAACTTTAAAAACACTTTTCTGGCATGAGAGAACTAAAAAAAAAAGATTCACAAGTGCAATTCGGAGTTAGCTCTGATCACATGTTTTCAACACATTCATTCCTAAGTTTAAACAAAAGGAGCCTAATAAGCACTGAGTTTTCAACACATTCATTCCTGAATTTAAACAAAAAGAGCCTGATAAGCACTTATAGTTTTCAACACATTCAATCCTAGATTTAAACAAAAGGAGCCTGATAAGCACTGAGTTTTCAACACATTCAGTTCTAAAAATGCAAAATAAACCGTTTGTAAATTCTTAATAACATGACGATTGTTTTCCAGCATTTACGATAAAAATATAATTTGTTTAAGCATCAAAAAAATTCGTAAAAGACTAAGTTTTTCATTGATATCCCCAACATGTTATAGAAATCAAAATGTATGTTTGGTAAAAATTGCATAAAATTGATCAATCAAATTAAAAACTTATGACTATTTGGATTGTACATGTAATTGTTTTTAAAAACTAATAATATATGATAATCAATGATGTATCTACATTTATGTAAATTTAATAAAGTATGATCTAGAATTTATAAAATTGCAATATCTACTGGTTTTTAAAAATGGCGAAAAAATCTTCAAAGTTGTAAAGTTGTACTTATAAAACTATTGTAAACGACATGAAGAAAACAAGCTTTGCCACAAACTTAAATGTATAGTCCCTGTATCTTTGCAACCAGAGGTTGGTAACGTATTTCAAACTGTGTTTTAACAATTAATTCATAGTTTAAAATATCGAATGTTTACGACACTGGATTGCATTGATATAGGGATTAGAAAATCAGAATTTTGTGGCGAACACTCAATTTACTAATCTACAGGAGTTCCCTAAAGTGTTTAATAGCGTGATAGGTAGTAAAAAAGCAGAAGAAGTATTCTTTATTTTTGATAAATATCTTCCTTTAAGAGGCTTAACCATAGACAAGAGAGAACAGAGACCTAGCAAAGGCTAGAATATGGGCAGTGACCAATCAGTGTTACTCGCGAATGCCGCAATGAATTTTAATACAGAGAGAGAGCCAGTTCTAGCAGCGGCGCACGGCCTCATAGCCATAGCGCGCGGCCCAGAAAGTGTCTAAACCTAACCTAACCCCTAAAATATATACTAATCTCTCTCTTCTTATAATTCATTGCGGCATTCGCGAGTAACAGAGTTTGACCGCTACCAAGAATATGTGATATGTTTTCTACAACGACCACTTACCAAACATTTGGATACGAAATACAAAACCTTCGAAAAATAGACAACATTTTACGTTAAAAGTTAGAGTATTTCATTAAAAATTGTAAAACTTAACCCCTGAATGGGTATTATATGCAACAAGTGGTTGTTAGATGGTGGGTGGTGTATTTTTCGACCTACGCAAATCCGCTATACTCCACTTCTGACCTACGCCAAATCCGCTATACTACACATCCGACCTACTAGCACTCGGCCCAGAAATTGTCTTAACCTAACCTAACCCTCAAATAATACAAAAATAAACAGCTGGCGTAGGTCCGATATTGCAGTAGGTCGGAAAGTTAGTAGGTCGGAAGTTAGTAGGGGGGATGTTGCGTATAGACGATGTAACATTACCTAGATGGTGCAGTCAAAAACCTTTAGTAAGAATATAGCGTGTCGTGTCGTTACGACCATAGGCCTGCTTAGCCCAGTGTCGTTACGACCATAGGCCTGCTTAGCCCAGTGTCGTTACGACCATAGGCCTGCTTAGCCCAGTGTCGTTACGACCATAGGCCTGCTTAGGGCAGCGCGTGAAACCTGATTAGCAGTCGTAATATATCTAGTCTGTGGACTTTACCAACATCTAGACCATATGTACTGTTGTAACGTACTGCAATGTTTTGTTTAAACCGATTTATTTCTTGGTTTAAACTGAAAGTAAACGTTACATACTTCTGTCAAATTAAAATTTACCAGGAACCTCTATATATTACCAATCACCATAGTTTCAGTAGCAGTAAATATTTCCATTCACTGATAGCGCCGATTGAAGGATTCATAATTCTGATTGGATTATGAGATAGATAGAAAAATAGATGTTACCGCCAAACTATTTCTATTGGTTCAGAATAGACAACAAACACTAGACTGAAACCTGATTGGACTAATGAACTCGGCATACAGGAGTGATATATTTGACAAGAAAAAAGTGTAATGCATAGTCTGGGAAGAAACTAAAAAATGTTTGCATATTTATTCCACATACTGTAATACACTTTTTATGTGATGAAAGATATGCTGGTTCTAGGTGTATCTTCTTTGAAGCTTGCTTCTGTCAGACTAGAATATGGGAGAATAATAAAAAGAAACGCTGAAAAAATACGAAGTGAGAAGGAAAAGAGAATGGGGAGGAGAAGAAGGAGAAAGAAGGAAAAAGTAAGAGAAAGAAAGAGAAAGATAGGATAAATAAAGGGAAAGAATGAGAAAGAAAGAGAAAGAAGGAGAAAAAAGAGAAAGAAAGGAAAGAAGGAGAAATAAGAAAAAGAAAGAGAAAGAAAGAGACAGAAGTAGAATGAAGGAGAAAGAAAAAGAAAGAAAGAGAAAGAAAGACAAGAAACAAGAGTGAGAAAGAAGGAAAAAACAAAAGATTAGAAAAGGGAAGATAGAAATAACTGATAAGTTCGATATACATACATGCATAGAGAATAGAATATATAGAGAGGAATTTACTAGAAAAAAGTGTAAAACGGCCATTTTGTTGTACTGTTTCCGTACTGCAGGTGTACTTCACATATTTATGCTATATAACCTGTTGGGCCCTGGAATATCATTTTATAGAAAATCTAAAATTATTTTTAAAAGAAAACCAAATTATGAAATAGGCTGGTTTCATAATAGGCCAATGATCATTTCACATAGACTCTATGCCTTCCACTCTGTACAAACGATGATTTTCCGTTATAACTATAAATCAAATGATGTTTTTATTCACCTAATTCATTATAAAGTTTATTTAACAGCTTTAAAAATTTCGAAATTGAAATGAATAGTCTAGGGAACATATTGTATGAATGTACTCAATTGCATATAATTTGTGAACATTTACATGATTTGTACACTTTGAACTCCATTTCAGGCTGAAAGGGACTGAAAAAATTCATACCGAGAGATTCTTTTAATTCCTCTCTATATATTCTATTCTCTATGCATACATGTTAAACTTATTTAGAATAAGAATTTCATAATATAAATGAAACCAATATCATATTTCCGACTATAAAAATGACCTAAAAATTGTCAGAATTGCTGAGAAATCCCGTAGAAAAGGTGTAAAAGTTCCATTTATTTACAAAGAGATATTTTAAACATAGATTTTCCAGGATATTTTGATAAAATACTGATGAAACCTCTCTTGTGCACTCGGTTTAATACAAATGATTATTCAGATAGATTTACTTTTTATTCTAAAACAGAAGATTTCATTTTTTTTTCCCATAAATTTTTTCATAAAAATTATACGGTGCGCTTAGGTGCCGGTGTGCTATATCTACCACTGACGGAAGAAAGTCATTACCCAAGACTGGATTTGGAACTAGATTTGAAGCATCGAATCTAATATTTGCATAATAGTCTATATATTCAGTTTTTTAATAAGTAAAATAGCTAACTTTTATTAGTATAATTCTTTGAGAACCATGAAGCAAATACACATGGAACAAACTGTTTTTGAATGTTTTTGTTTACAACTTATGGAACCTGCTACAGTGAAACCCTTAATAACGAATACATCGAAAGAATTCATCAAATGTCGTATTCTTCACTTTCTGATAATGGTTAGTTGCAGATATTTAGTTTTTTTAAATAAATGATTATATGGAGCTCTTTAAAACTGTTCCCGCATATTCATGGCTATTTATTTATTTTCGCAAATACTGAAATTTACGTAATATAGTATAAAACTCATTGAAAAATTGTCAAGACGACATTTGATAAATTCTTCCGATGTATTCGTTATTAAGGGTTTCACTGTATATTACTATTTTTTTATTTTATTTTTTGCCGAACATTTAATCAGATTCAGAGGTACTAACTACTAACCCCTTATTTGAACTATTTATAATACAAGAGACATTAGTTCCAAAACAGGGTTAAAGCTGTGTGTTATAAATGGTATACTTCTGAATCTAAAAACAAATATTTTACATTACAAAAAAATTTGATTAGGTATGTTAATTATATGTTAGTTAGAATTTGAAATCTTTTATCAAAACAAAAAAATTTCTCAATTTTTTTAATGTTTCCTGCCCTCTAACTCTGACGCCAGAGGTCCCCCCCAAAAATTTCTTTTTGGAAATGGAATATGTTTTTTTCTTCCAAACATTATGCTGTGAATAAAATTAAATCAAATCAAATATTAAATTAATTGATTGATTAGGATAAGAATCTTAATTTTTATAACTGTATGCAAAATCCTAATGGCATGACCTTGGAACATTTACCTTCCATTGGTAGTCAGAACCATTTTTCTTTTGGGAGTTCACCTGTAAAATCATGCAAATATGTACAGGGTGTCCCAATAAACATGGGAAGTCAGTGACGAATTCGATATCGTATTTATAAATACTGAGAAAGCTGTAATCCGTAAGATTTTCGTCTGCTATGCTTTAACTGCATATGGGTGTACTTAGTAAAAAAAGAAAATCACAGTATAAAAACAGAGTAAACTTAAGTCCGTCATCACTGTTTATCTTGCAAAGGCATTATAGACACATCTTTTCAGTCATTTACCGTTTTCATAAAATAAATTCTAGCAGACATAATAATATTATGGCTTTTGAAATTAGGTATTACAATGCTAATTCATAGCAAAGACGATATCGAAATCGTCACTGAGTTCCCATATTTATTTGAACACCATGTACCTTCGGAAAAAAGCTTAAAGGGACTGGACGCGTAATTTTAAGTGACCCTCCATGCAAAGATGGTAATGCCCGAGCCATAACATTGCCTTGTATGTGGAAGATATTGTCGTTTTTCTAGGTTCAAAAGTGTTCTATTCTGATAATTCCTTTACGTTTGTCTGGAGTAGAAATGTTTTGTAGTTTACTCACAATTGAAAATAATCTGCTTTCGAACTTACAATTATTGATATCTATAATTCATATCTTGATCAGACAGGACTTTTAAGGGTGAAATCTTGCATTTCCATCGTTGCATGAACGGTCACTTTAAATTCATCAAATTTAAAGATTTCACATTTTGAGACATCCAAAATCTTTTTCATATTTAAGATACATAGGAAGTGAACCATATTTTGAAAAGTTGTGATGGACATTTTTATCAGAAAGATATCATTAAGGTCCATGGATGAACAACTTAGGAAAATAGATGCGCGCGGTAAATTTTTCCATTGCACCGTGACCAGAAATTTTAACTCAATATCTCAAAGACTATTTTTATACGCCCTACATAGCTCAAAAGTATTTTTTTTCATGATTTTATCATGTTTTTCGAAATTAAGTCGGAAGGAATTTTTGAAAAATTCTAAAAATAGACTTAGTCATGGTCAACAAACTTCCAAAAACCGCACTTTAAAAAAAATGCTCAACTTAGACAAGTTTTCGAGCCTTGGACCTTCATTTTTTTGTATTTTAACGGATTCGAATTCCTTAATCAAACGAAGACATGTTAATTTCATGAACCAAATTATTTTGGTCTTCTATAGCTCTTTTTGAAACTTTGGCGGAAATTTTGTCCTATTATGTAAGAGCTGTGGACCTACGACTAGTGATGGCACCTTTTTAGCGTTTTTTAAAAACGTATTTATCATACCAAATTTTTCTTTAAGAATGTAACCAACATTTTATAGAAAATAATATTGACATTATTGGTCATGAATAAAATACTGCAGATATAGAAGTTGTTTTTTACAGAAACTAATTCACATCTTGGTGTCCAAATATTTAAATATTTAATATATTTGAGCAATATGTCATTAAACAAATATTATTTTTTTCTTCAAAATCATGCAAAAATTATGACTTTTTATGTATTCATTCGCAATTTTTTGCAAAAAAAGATACTCATTTCGAATGAATGCGCAATTTCGTGCAAACCTGGTTTCGAATTGATACGAAAATGATGCAAAATTTCGTGCAAAAACGCGAAACTGTTGCGCAAGAGAATCTACTGTTTTGTGGAAACCCTAGTCTGAGTAAAAAAAGCGTAATAGAATAGCTCTACAGATTCTATCTAACCATTGATCGACCAAATACATTCAATCAATCTTCGACGCACTCTTAAAGTTTTACAATGACCGTACCGTTACCGTACGTAACAGTGTCTTTTTGGGATCAATTTAGCAAATTTTTGCTTTGTTTTTCCCAAATCCATTATAGTTTAAACTTAGCTTATTAAGGCTTGTTAAGGCAGTATTCGTTAAGGCTGCGGCCTTCGTTAAAGAATACATCAAGATTATTTCCGGACCCTCGACTTAGGCTGAGGTTAGTGAATCTAGTCATCATGTAAAGTGGGACACCCTGTATTTTTCACCTCGCCTGTTTCTATGAGGAAGGTCTTCCCTGTTATTCTAGCAATAGAACAAAATATCAACAATAGGTTTACGCTGCTATTCATCATTGTTTAAGCAAAAATATCTGAAAAAAATATTTAAAATGTCTTCCAACATAATTTAAAGAGTGGAGTATCTCTGTTTTTCTTTCTAAAACTTGATTATTTTTAATTGCAAATATTTTTCTATATATTGTAGCAGGAAAGTGATGGATTGATCTTTCCTGCGATCATAAATAGTATTTTTTCCTTCTTTCCATCATTTCCAGTTTCTCCCCCCCACCCCTTCTTCCATCCCTCGTCAGATCTAACGGATTTATTCTTGTTTGTGTTTAAATTCTATAAATAACCCAAGCCACGCGGAGAAACCGTTATCCCAGAAACCCGGGGGCTGGTGGGTTAGCCGGCCAGCTCACGGGGGTACTAGGGTTAAATGCTAACCTAGGGTGGAGCGAAATCTGGGGAAAAAGAGTCAGTTGATCATCAGCTCCCTTAAACTGAGGTTCCCTTGAAGATTCCCCATCACTCTGAAACTGCTTCAATTCATAATATTTTATTAGTATAGTATCAACCGTTTTATTTTTGTATCTTTGTAAATAATAAACTGTAAGAAAAACCGACTCGTTGAATATTAATAATACAAGTGTTTGCATTGATTTATTTTCTTTCATATACAATAATATGTGGATAGCTGATTCATGCAGCAGAGAAAGAAAACTAAGAGAAATTACATCTTTTCAAGACAAAACAAAACAACAATTATCTCCCTTCATTGATGCCCGTTTTAAACATTGTAAGTTTTTAGACTTTTTTAAAGGCTTTACAATAATCTGATATGCAAATCCTGTTTCAAAATTGCAAAAAATGCATTTACCAAAACGATTTTTCAAAACAAAAAACGGAAAATATTTTACTAATCATCTTGATTAATATCTTTGACGAGAGTAAACATTTAGCTTTGTCACCGTGTGACTAAAAACAAGTATTGCAAGAAATTTTGAAATTTTTGCATCTCAGGATAAGGTTCTTGTGAAGCCTTTGAAAAGTGTATAAACTTTGAATATTTAAAAATGGGCCTCAAAACAAGTGGCAAGAAGCGCAAACAAATCTTGTTTTTTGCCTTAATAAGAAATAAACACAAAGCTTAAACGTTTACAGTATTTGTAGCTCTTGTCAAATTTTTAATATTTTCTAGAAATCAATAAAATACAATCTAACCAGGTTTTGCGCCAAATTGTTTGACTGAAAAAGTAATTTAATATGCAATTATAATAAGCCAATTATATTATTAAGAATTTATATAAAGTGATGTGATGCATAAAAAATTAGGTGATAATTAAGACCAATAAAAAATATATTACACATTTTTTGTTTATTACATACAAGGGAGAAATGAGATATTGCTACTTTGTAGACCATAAATCTTATCTTGAAACCTTTCTCTAATAGTTGAAAGCAAAACTACCCTCCCAGAGCCGAAACCAAACCCAACCTCCTCCGTGAATAGACGCTAAATCCGTGAAAAGTGAAAACACATTTTAAATATAGAAATGCTTAAAAATCGTGATTATCGCTTTAAACAATAATTTTTGTAACCAAACGGGTATTTATTTTTCAGTAGTCACAAAACGTTTTATTCCTGATCCTATCGACGCCCCATTTTCCTTTATACCTACCAAAAAATAGTAAGTTTTGTTTAATCAAATAAGCTGTAACGATTTATATCAATATTTTGTATTTTGTTCACTGAGTTGTTTTGTTCCTAGGTTTGAAATATGTATTTTTTTGTGTTTGCAACATGTATGTAGTGGGAGTAGTGGAAAGGGTATATTAACCTGTTCAATATCGACGCCCCAAAGGGGATATATCAACCTGTTCAATATCGACGCCCCAAAGGGGATATATCAACCTGTTCAATATCGACCCCTCAAGGGGATATCAACCTGTTCAATATCGACCCCTCAAGGGAATATCAACCTATCCTTTTTCAATCCCCTTTTGAACTCAACATACTTACATTCAATTAATTCCTTTTGCAATAAACATGAATAAAAAACAAAAAAGTACTAATTCAAAACTAACTTGTAAATAATTTTTCGAGATAAATTTTTATGTAATTATAATAAGAAATTGAGAAATTATCAATTATACATTTTGCATAACAATTTTTAATAAAGACATTTGTTTAAAAAAATTTAATATATTTATTTTGAGGTTTACATGTTTAGCAATCAATGATGTCACAAAATTCCTCTAGTTCTGGCACAGATATTAAACACTTTATTCACATTTCAACAATTATTTTAAATAATTGTATTGAGAATAATATATATATATATATAATTTAAATTAATTTAAAATTAATTTAACATCTTGCAGAAATTAGCGAAACATCTGTGAACAATTCTCAAATTATCCATACTGAAGATTGCAAAAAGCATGAAATATTGTGTTTTTATTATTATTGTAGCGGAGGCAAGAATTCGATGATCTTTTAACGAAAAGGTCAGGATTGAAAATATTCGAATCCTGGTTGTATATATTTATAAAAAGAACAATGCATTAACCCGATTCACAACGGTATCATTGAAACCTTTATTGTTTCTGAAACAAAAATGCACAAATCTCTTTTGTAGAAAACCAACAATTGAAAATAATCAATTTTCCAAGAGAAGATGTTTGATATTTTATCCTCGGACATGCCACATATATCTACTGCAGTCCCTTCACTCTTGTATGCCGAGTCCATTAGCGCCTGGTCTAATCAGGGTTCAGTCATGTGTTTGTTGTCTAATCTGAACCATGGCGGTAACATTTATCTTTCTATCTATCTCATTATCCAATTAGAGTTATTAATCCTTCAATCAGCGCTATCAGCAAATGGAAATATTTACTTCCACTGAAACTATATATAGTGCCTTTTATGCATTACAGGAGCTATAAGTATATAATTTGACCAGCACGGTAACATTTATCTTTCTTTCTATCTCATTATCCAATCAGAGTTATGAATACTTCAATCAGCGCTATCAGCAAATGGAAATATTTACTTCCACTGAAACTATATATAGTGCCTTTTATGCATTACAGGAGCTATAAGTATAATTTTACCAGCAAAGTCAAAAAAAAAATGTTATGTTTTAGTAATGAAATAATATTCTATTTAGAAAAAAAATTTAAACAATTAAACAATTAGATGTTATGTTTGTCGTCAGCTAAGTATTTAATTACTTCCGTTTTTTTTGTTAAATTTATATTTTTTTTAATACAATTTACTATATATAATCTTGTTGACTTATGTAAAGTTGTAATCTCTGTTTGTATGTTTGATATCAACTTTTTAAACCCTCGGCTGAGTGGACTCAGAGTGGGGAACTCGTTAGATCCACGGGAATTTTATTAGCTTGGTTTAACAATTCTAAGTTCAGTGCGTTGACTTTTTAAAGGGACAGACCGGCCGGCTATGTAAGGAAGTTTAACTGAGTATCCAGTGTTGTGAACAAATTCTTTGGGATTCATTTGAGACATTTAACACTTTTCAAGATAAAGAAAAACTCTGGAAGAATAGGTTAAAACGTTACCGTATTTCACTCCAAACTAAAGTACGTAAATTCATAAAATTGAAATTTCATGTTTTCAAAAAGTAACTCCTATTATTGAATAGCTATTGCAAAAAACAAAAGCTTTTAAATTTCGAATATGTAACCAAAAAGATTTGCTTTTCTCTTACTAGTGCATAAATCAAAGCTCAGCTCAAATCAAAGTCAGAAAACCGTAACATGTTAAGTAGCTTATATTTTACCTTCCCCTTCTGTTCAATGGAGCGTGCTTTGCCCCAAACTCTGATTTTCTAATCCCTATATTTTTGCATCCCAATGGTGTTGACCTTAGATGTTTTAAACTATAAAGTCTGTTAGATCAGATAAAGTTAACACTATCCAGGTTGCAAATATGTTTGAGTTAGTAAATTTGAGTTTGTGGGAAAGACTCATTTCCTTTAGAAAATGATTGATAAAGTAGCTAGGATACCATGCTTTGCTGGAAACTACGTTAGAATCTTTATGAAAGTTAAACAAATTGAATATTTTAACTCAGGTGGTTAAACGTAAAAGAGGACCTTTAATGTCCACTTTTATCATACAATAAAAGCAAAAATTCAAATATTTCACAATAACTATTAAGATATATTTGTGAATTGCTAGTGTCATGTAGTTTGATTCGTTTGAAAATATACATGATACACTATTTGTGCATTGATAATTGTAATCTCAATTAAAATACAAAATTTTAATGCATCATATTTAGAACTTGAGACTTTAAAAAAAAAGATTCTTGTGGATGTAAAAGCTGTAAGATCTCTAAGGATCTAAATGTCGTCTTGTTCAGGGTATCTCCAAACCAAACACGGCATGACGAGCAGACAGAAACTCCCCAGAAGAGAAGACAGTCAGCTGAATTCATGGAGCTCTCATCTCTACTTATAAACAATGTAACCGTGATTAGTTTGATGCTCTAGACTTTACGAGTGACTGAAACCTTTTGAGCTTATATTTATTCTCATTTAACTTCATTTATTCTCATTTAATCGAATATATGTAAAAGTTTTATATCGGAAACTCAAAGTTTTATATCTAACAAGCAGTTAAAGCCTAGTCAGCTTTTTTCCTTTTAAAGAAGATTTAACCTTATATTTTACTTTCAGAATTAGAATGGGTTGATTTTCCTATTCTAACCTCGTATAGTTGCCCAGGTTGTGTTTAATCAAGGTCAATAAAACATCTGTCTAAAGTTTAAATATTTCTCGTCATGATTTATCGATTGCTCCAAATCTTCGTTATACAGATGGTTTATATATGGAACCCTAGATATCTCTGAGTAAAACCTTTCTGATCAACTCCACCACCCTGAATCTACTCATCATGAAGCCGATGCTTGGGGAACACGTCACCTCCTCCACGTTCCTCTCGTAAGGCTCAGCCTAAGGATATATATTCCAGGTGAACATTTAGTGAAAATGAACCTTTGAACCTTTGAACCTAAACCTTTAAACTGTAACAGTATCATATTATTTATCCTGACAAA